GTCCCCCTTTCGAACCTGGTACCACCTTCTCAGGCAGGATTCTGCAGCGGACTCGATATCCGGCTATGAAACGTCTCAACCTATTCAAGTCACCGAAGCCGAAGTCCTCCATGAGCTTGGTTAAGCGACCATGAGGGCGGAAAACGCCATGCGACACATTGACGTTCAGAAGCATCCGACCGGTCGCTGGTCTGGCACTCTGGAAATAACCACGAATGACAGCATTGAAGTCTGGTCCGCCCAATGACTGGAGCTCCGAGGAAAGATTAAGCGGAAAGTGTCGGCTTGAACCTAATGATCCAACTTGATCACTCCCTCTCGCTTGGAACCCAGTGATGGTGCTAATAGCATCAATTGCTGGGGCGTATCGGGGGAACGAATCATCATTAGATCGGTTTTCCATCGTTCGGATGTAGGACCTAAAGGCATCCATATCGATATCTGGTGCACGATCGAACGCCACATTGTACGTGTCGTCTTTGCCTTCGTCCGTATACGAAACCTGGACAATGTTGTTTTCAGGCAATGGAAGGGGTTTCACGCAAATTACTTGGGCCTTGTATTCTGTTGCGTGAAGAACATCTCTTGCGACTTGGTCCAAGGCGGACTTGATAATCTTCTGGAGCTTTCGCCCCTTGGCTTGAGGAAGGTCCTTCTCCTTCTTGTCCTTCTTTTTCGAAGAATTATCAGGAACGTCCTTAACATTCTTTTTGGATTCTTTCTGCTGAAGCGTTACTTTAAGGGCGTACTTGTAGAGCGATGGTGTTTTGACATCGAGCGCATAGTAATTGGCCCAAAGTTTGACCTCTTTACCCTTGGTGCCGAAGGCTGGTCGGCAAGGTAGATGTTCAGAAGGTGTTGAGCCCTTCTTGGCAGATACCTGGAGAGCAGCCATTTTGCTCACCATCCCTAGATCCTTGAGTATCGTGTCCTCGAGTTGTGTGATCTTCGGGTCCGGCGCAGGTGCAGCATTTGCCCTACACTTACATTAGTATTGGACCTATGATGATGATGGCGTGCTCAAAAACTTACTTGAATACCTGCTCCTCCCCTGCAAATTTATCTCCGCCGAAACCACCTCGACCGCCACCACGTCCACCGCGGAAATCTCCTCTGCCTCGTCCTCCCCGGTCACCACCACCACCGCGGCCACCGCGGTAGTCACCTCTCCCGCCTAGTCCAGAAAAGGTGGCACTACCACCACCACCTCCTCCTCCACCGCCACGTCCGCCACGATAGTCTCCACCACCACGTCCGCCACGATAGTCTCCTCTACCGCGGCCTCCGCGATCACCGCCACCACGGCCTCTACCTCCTCTTCCACGATCCGCCATATTAGTCTGTTAGGACCTTAGGAGGAGAATTTGTGCGTCTATGTACGAGACTAGACCTTGGATTCAAGGAATAATAGGTGTCTTGATAGACAATCAAGATAGAGTGCGTTGAAAATCAATGATAATACGCTAATATCAAATACAGAGACTGTGAACAAATATGAGTGTAGTTGATAGGCTTTGCTCAATGAAGGCGACACAAGTGTCTCCGGAGATGGGGTGTAGAGCACTAGGTCGCAGGAACTGCACGATGCAGAAAGTACCTAGTTGGACGAAAGAGTGGGAGGGGATAGACAGAATGAATAATTTGAATGTATGTAGGTAGGATGTATATTTATTTCTTGACAATGTGTGCGCTGGCTTGGTACATAGATAAGAAACTGGTGGCAAGTTTCTTGTACAAGCGAGGGGTCGTTTGCAATTGTATGAGGGTGTTTGACTGTGGGTGAAAACAGAATAATACTAGGATTTGATATTGGTGGTAATGAAAGAAAGCAAATGATAGATCGAGATGTAGGGTTCCCGAGACTACTGCACCGAAGCGTTGCTGGAGTACCTGTGTAGGTTGGTTACATCCAGTTACATCCAGTGTGTAGAGGATGAGAGGATGATGTGGTGGGCCTCAGCCGTTGGCAGGTTGAGGTTGGTTGTTAGAGCTCTAGGCAGACATTGGATGTAGGAAAATGCTACCTCATGAGGTACTGAGAGACAGCGGTTAGAAGCTGCCGAGAAGGTCAATATCTACCTGTCCAAGGTTCCGTCGTCCAAGCAAGTTGGCAAGGATGAGTGGTGCTTGAAAAGGGTGGGTTGCAAGAAGTCTTACGTACCTACAATAAGACTACTAACCTGATACGTGCAATATTTTACTGTAAAAGAAAGATGTGAGGAGAAAAGAACTAGGTAATGTGAGTGTACTTAGTTAGGTAAGTATGTATGAAGAGGAAAATGCGCAGAACAGAAACATAAACTGGAGTAGAGGCGGTTCGGTGGGATTTGGAAACCAAGGCCCACTCTGCCTGCCAGCAAAACGGCAGAACGGTCCCGGAGGGATCCAATAAAGAACATCACGACAAGTGATGAGGTAGGTACATCCTATCTATGTCACTTACATGTAAGCATAAATTGTAATATTCCCAAAGATTATCATAATTCCCTGCTTTTTTGCTGCTGCTGCAGTTTTGCAGGTAAACATTTCTTTTTTTTTTATCCCTATTTTCCTTTCTCTTCCCGTTTAGAGCGGTGTGCAGTCGTCTGTCTCTCTACGTACATACATGTAGGACTTCCGGCGTCTAAGTCGACGTGCCCCCGTCGGGCAGCTAAACCATTTAAGGCCCAATTTGGCGTCTTAGACCCGCCCATTTGGCTCCGTATCTGTGCCTTCACCTATCCCTGCCATAGCTGCACCCCTGTCTTACCTACCCCTCCATCGTGTTTCTCCCCTCAGCCATCTCTTGTACGCTCGCATCAAAGGACGTCATCAGATTGAAGTGGTTGTGAAAGAAGAGAGAAAAAAGACTAAAAAGCTAAGATTACAATATTTTAGACATTTCAACTGTTATATGTGGTAATTGGATCGTTGTGTTTATGTCACTTCAATATTTTCTTCGACATTATTACACGTGCTTCTAATGGAATGGTGTTCAAAAATGTAGCAAAGGCATACAAACGGGCGAATGTGCATCAAACAGGGGCCACCATGTCAACTTGTTCAAACTGAATTGTCTTTGTCATGTTACATCTCTTTCATCTGTGTCGTATACGGCAGCATAATTCTTCAGAGAACCAGCAGAGCCAGCTACTTGTTATGCACGCACAGCTTATCAATGACATGGAAGTTATGCTAGAAATGACATGTCTCTTTTAACAGCAACACTTGTCGGCTCATCATCCTAGCTACCCCATCAGTCATCTTCAAACACAAGCACCCAATGATATCTCTAGGTCTCTCCTCAATATAATGATTACATCTAATCAAGAGCAATCTTGTGAGTCACAATTTTGTACTACCAATCTAGGCCCCATGCAATCACGTACGAGATAGCTACATGTATGTATCTCATTGAATTAGGTATGTGGCCACAAGATCTCTCGTAGGGCTTGCGGAAACACGCAGATGGCTAGCTCTGTAGTTTATCCCGGATCACGACGATTACTTGGTTATTTCGCCAGAAAATGCGACGTGCATAATATGCCACTATGAGAATTGTGACTCACTCGACGACAAACGGACTTCAGCCTCATCTGTGCGTTAATTGGCTCGATGCCGGTCTGGACATCCTCATGCATGTTACAGCCGAATAAGCCGCGCCACTCTGCAGCGCAGGTTTCCGATCTACATATGGTACCTCGACGTAGGGCTACTTGTTAGAGGACGAGAATCGAGCCACATAGCACGTCTACCATGAACGGCCTCAGGCAGTCTATTGACACGTATACTCGTTAGCCCCTATTCGTCTAGACTTACCAACCACCATGAGAGATCGGAACATAACATGACTAGCAGAAGCGAATACGGGACAAATTCCGATAGAGGATTCCGTACATATTAACCCTACCCTAATCCCCATGGGGTACTACCGAGTCGGCCCGCTTAGGACTCTGGCTACGGTATCTCTCCACTGCCCATAGCTACATAAGATACTTGGAGGTAACAAGTAGGTAAGCCGAGAATTCTAATGCTTGTTCCGATCGAAAATCATCCAAGCAGCCAAGCAGCGAGGCATCATCTTCACCTCCTCAGTCGAGGACAAAATTCGCGAGGCCGGGCCCGTCGTTTGCACAACCCAAATTGATCGACGGAGCGTCATCGTGGTACAACATCTGCATGTATCGCGTGTTGTCTTTCGCTGGATCATAATTCGACGCGGAAGCATACAGCACCCACTTATATCAATTGCCGCATGAGGCCAATTTCAGACCTGACGAATACTATTTTAGGCCGTCGTTTGCTATACTCACCTACGGGCTATAATCTGGCCGCAGCTTGGTTGAGGCGCGCGGGAACCTGCTGAGGCCGTTTCTGGTCTGTCTTAAATGATGACGTACACCAAAAACTTCTGTCTTCGTCTCGACCTGCAGATACGACTAGGGGATGGAGCATGTAGTGTAACAACCAGAAAGGGACGCATGCAAGTCGGGCGTAGGAATAGCATCACTGGTTATGCCAAGACTTGAAAATCTGATAGGTAGATTTCATCGAGTAGGATAACATAACCAACTTTTGGCAATTGTCTCAGAAACACACAGACCTGGCTGCCTGGTAATTTTAACCTACATATTATCTGCCTACTAAGTATGTAGGTACCTAGTAGTTTTGATAACCAAATTGGCAGACTGGTCAGCTTGCATAGAAGAAAACAAGGATTCTGTGTCCTTCAAGGGTGGTTATGCTGTATTGTGACACCAATTCCATTGAAAATCTTGTAGGTGCTAGAAGGTAATGTCCAATTATCAGGGGTGTCGAATGAAAAGCCCAATATGAGGTATCAGAGGTAGACAAGCCGAACTTGAACGTTGAGTGGGGAGAAGAATGCTCGCCATCTGCTCCATGAGAATTGACCAATGGAATAACAGGAAAAGAAATCAAGCGAGGGCAGTTGCACCGGCACAACATCGGTGCCTACCCCGCGTACGATATAGTCTATCAAAACTTAGCAAATTATCACAGCCCGGTTAGCTCAATCGGTAGAGTACGTTCCCATCCTCCTCACAACATATAACTCTATCACTAACATCATCACCAGGCGTGAGACTCTTAATCTCAAGGTTGCGGGTTCGACCCCCGCATCGGGCTCAAATCCTGATGCGTCTCTTTGAATAGAGACACTTCGAACCAAACTTTTTTTTGATTTTTTTCTCCAATTTTCTTAGTGTTTTATTCCGTATCCGATTTCGTTTTTGGCTGTCAGGATGTCCAAGGTCCGATGGATCTTGGCCTTTAGATGGTGACTCGATCTCCCACCTTATGGACCGCCCATGTAGGAGGGAAGTCTTGCGCTTGACTGCTTGAATTTGACATCATCACCTAACGATAGTTCTTATAGACACAGTCTATATAACCAAGGCATTGGACTAGGAATTGATAAGTGTTTCGATATGTTGGTATTATACTTATGTAGATTTATCATGTCCTGCCGTCGCAACCTCTAGTATTTCCTTTTCAAGCCCAGCGACATGAACAAACTCAATTCCGGCATTCTTCAACTTCTGCTTGCTAGAGTTTTCGCTAACGAATTTCTCCGGCTCGTAGACCCCAACAAAGACCGTCTTGATCTTGTCTCCTATAGCCAAAATCCTATCCACGCAAGGTAGATTTCCACTCAATCTGAGCGAACACGGTTCCACTGTCGTATAAAGAGTGACTTGGTCTGGAAGTGCTTCACCTAGACGATCCGCTGGCACACCGTACTTTTCTGCGAGTTTCTTAAAACAGCATTCTTCCGCGTGGGTGTTTCCCGGAAGCTCTAGGGTGTAACCTGTGGCTAATATCTCATTCGAAGCCAAGTCCACCACAACAGCTCCAACTCGATAATTCGTGGGCTTCGGAGGGGATTTAGTAGCTAGAGACAAGGCAAGTTTCATATATGACTGGTGATCTTCAGCCTTTATGTTGCTAGCTTGTTGCTGGATGTTTTCTGTCATTTTTTTTAGAAGGTTTGATAGATGGAATACTGAAACTGATGAATGAATTCAGCAGGTACCTTTTCGTAGGTGGGGGAGCTCACCTTGTGTGGGTCGATCAGGAACCCCGCTACGTATGACAATTAATAATTAAAATTTAATTAACAAGGGCTTATCGATAGAGCGCGTAGACCGAAACGCGTGTAACGCGACCCTCGCTCGTGCTTCATGAAGCTCCCCTTCTTTTACTTTTCATTTCTTATTATGCTTTGAGTAATGCACTCATCAACCTCTTCTCATAATGGATAACTCGGACGATCTCCTAGAGGGCGAACCTCCTATCATCGACCCGTATGAGGTCCTCGACGTAGAGCGCACAGCGGATGAGAGCCAAATCAAATCAGCTTATCGCAAGCTCGCTCTTAAGAACCATCCAGGTAAATTTTCCAACCCCTCAGCAATATTTGCTTTATTGCGCATTCTTACATATGCTATTCTCTAGACAAGGTTCCCGAGGACCAAAAGCAGAAAGCCCACGAGCTATTCCAATCAATTGCCTTCGCATACGCTGTGCTGTCCGACCCGGCAAGACGCAAACGCTACGATGAGACCGGTTCCACATCCGAGTCCATCGTCGACTCAGATGGCTTCAGCTGGTCGGACTTCTACAGAGAGCAATACCGCGACACTGTAACGAGCGATGCGATTAAGAAATTCGCCAAGCAGTACAAGGGATCCGACGAAGAAAAGGATGACATCTTAATTGCCTATGAGCAGAACGAAGGAGATATGGACAAAATCTACGAAACAGTCATGCTCAGTGATGTCCTCGGAGATGATGAAAGATTCCGCGCAATCATCGACGAGGCTATTGCTAGCAAAGACGTCCCCGCCTTCAAGGCCTACACGAACGAGACCAAGAAGTCCAAGGCTGCACGAATCAAGGCTGCGAAGAGTGAGAGCAATGAAGCCGAAGAATACGCCAAGGAATTAGGTGTACATGACAAATTGTTCGGCAAGGACAAAAAAGGTAGCAAGGGCAAAGGAAAGAAGGGAACATCAGAGGACGACCTGGCAGCTCTTATCCGTCGCAATCAAGAGGGCCGAAACAATTTCCTCGATAATCTAGCTGCCAAGTATGGCGCGAAGACGAGCACAAAGAAAGGAAAGAAGCACGCCAGTCCAGAGGAAGAAGAACCATCGGAGGAAGCTTTTCAGGCTGCTGCAGCGAAGCTAAAAAAGAAAAAGAAGGACCTAAGCCCGGAGGAGCCTTCGGAAGAGGCTGGTACCAGAAGGTCGAGAAGGGGCGGAAGGCGTGCTGTCCCGGAGGAGGAGCCTTCAGAGGAGGCCTTCCAAGCCGCAGCCACCAAGTTAAAGAAGGGTAAAAAGCATGCGAGTCTTGAAGAGGAACTCGAAGAAGAGATTCCCCAGACTACCACTACAAGATCAAAGAGAGGTAAGAAACGTGCAAGCCCAGAGGAACCTGATGATGAGAGTGTTACTACGAGGTCGAAAAGGGGAAGAAAGAAGTAGAGCTAAGAATCAGGGGCCAGTCGGGTTGATTTTCTTTCATGGCGTTGGGCATTTGGTATCGAGAGGCAGGATGGATATGCGTTGCCTTCTGCGGGTTACTTTACCGCTTTTCTAGTAGCATAACTTTTCCCTTGACAATGAATGCGAATTTCCTCCAATTCAATTAATGGTTGATAATCGCACTTCGCCCGCCTTGTCTTAAAACTCCCCGAGGTGTTCGTACGCTATAAAGAGCCTATAAATAAGCGGGGCAGCTACCTGTACACTTAGAAGCTTTCCGCGTCTGTCGCGTCATCCAGCAACCACTTTACCCAACTTCAACTTTAAGAAAACGCGCCAACCTGGAAGTGTTGCTTTTTAGCAATCGGGTTCCGCTACCAAGATGCAATGACAAGTGCGGAACCGCTCGTATACTATCCTGCCTATTGCTTCCATCTGTCCCCAACGATAAACAAATGGTGTCCCCTGCGCGCTGCCGACATTCAGGGTCTTGATACTCGGCCTGGATTTGAAGGTATCTAGCCATTTTCAAATCATATAGATGCGATTTGCAGCTAACCATTTCCAAGGCGACAATGTATTCTTCTTCCTAAACCACCCTATTCGCTGGGTCCGTGTCGTTGGCGTCGTAGTTGCAATTGACGAGTTCTATGGCCGTCGCAACTACACGATCGACGATAGCACAGGCGCATGCATCGAATGCAGCCTAGATGTTCCGAAGCCAATTGATCGCCGGCAGCAGAATGGCGCAGGTGTCCAGCCGACAGTAGTCCCCCCTAATCCCGCTCCGGATCCGCATTCGGATATCGATGTCGGTATGGTAGTCGAAGTCAAGGGCAGCACGAGGCTCTTCAGGGATGAGAAACAGATCAAGATAAACAAGCTGCAGAGAACAAGGTCTACGGCACAGGAAGTCCAGTTTTGGAACAAGATCCGCGACTTTCGAAACGACGTCCTGAGCAGACCATGGGTCTTGGAGAAGAGAGAGGTGCGCCGATGCAAGAAGCAACACATGGCCGACGCGGATGAGGAGGAGAGGAAGAAAAAGAAGAGGAAGAATGGAGACGGCACTAACAGCGTTGTCCAGATCCGAGAGTCGAGGGCAAAAGGCTCAGATGAGAGAAGCAAGCCCTCGAAGGACGCCGTAACTAGGACGGAAGCCAAGGACTCATATATTGCAGGACAGTATGAAGCGTTAGGGCTATGAATATACCTTGGTCACTAACAATGATTGATAATATCTCCATCCACCGGCTATGATCATTTCGTGCACGTTCAAAATGATTGATCACTTGGGGCCGACATCAGTAATATTTGCAGCTATTATAGGTAGCAAACAACACGGCATCAGCTCATCTACATATACCGGTCACTCATATCTCAAGCTCACTATTAGAACATTCGCATACCTTGCTCATGCGCCTATTAGTTCTATATAGAGATATGTATGCATCTAGAACCAAGCTTGAAGTACATATCATCTCTTATATGTAGTAGCAGAAGTACCTACCTACCTATTATTAAAACGGGGCCCACAAATTCAAACAGTAAATTGGCGAATGCACCTTACAAGACAGCACATCTTTTTCAAGCAAGTAGGTAGGTAGTCCCTAGGCTTATTTCTATAGCCTCATTCTTTCCATCATACAGCCTTCATTCTAGATGCGGAAGTCGCTGCTTGAAGCACCTATGCAGTTATTTTTGGTGACTAGCGTATGGTCTAGCTGAACCTCTCCAACATCACCTTTTTTTATCAACATCCATAAGCCTCCCTTCTATCTACAAGTCCTAAGGATCTAGAGCCTCTACCCACTACCTAAGGTAGCTTTATATATCATTATTGCTCCTAATTCTATAGTTGTATCTCATACGACTTGCTTTTTATTCACTCTTCAATCTCGGCTTTCGCGACTCTATTCTCATTCCAACGAGTCCTTCTAGACTCTATTTGCTCAGATTCGTCATATAGGCAAGTCCATCAGCCCCTATTCAAGACAACACATTCCTCGCGTCACATCCTCTCTACACGTCGCTTGATACTAGTAAGCCTGACTCGATCATCACCTGGTGCACCGATGTCATTCTTGGGATCTATACTCAATTCACCCATCATGTTATTCAAAAACCACGTACAGCCCGCCCATTATGTGCTTGGGGGCTGGATTTTGGGTATTCAAGTTCAAAATTTTTATTTAATAAGCCATGCCAAATATTTTTACTACTTGATACCCCTTAACGAAAATACGAAATCACGATATCACGACCCCCCAGAATTCACGAGTTCAGCGCTGTTTATTCTGAAGAGAAACTTTTGCATAAGAAAACAATTTCCCTGCATAATAATATCCTCCTAAACCACCATGAGGTTGTACTGGATGCTAACGCTATTCCAGGTCCATCCTATCCTAACAGCCCGGCTTTGGGCTTTGAATGGTAAGGTTAAGCCACAGCATCGAGGTAAACTCGCAGGGCGAGATCAACTACGAGAGAACAATTACCCCATTACCGCATTACAAGATCCTCATCGTGAAGGGTACCAACCCGTTGCCACTATCACAAACTCCGAGTCATCAGTGATCCCAGAGGTTCGTCCTTCACTGTCTAGTGTTGAGCCAAGCACCACGTATGACGAAACGAGCA